AATTTTTGATGGCACACACGGCGAACGCGACCGCTATAGATATCCAAACATTTGACACGAAATATTTTTCTCACATAATTTCGCAATAGATAAAATTTGCTACATTTTTCTTTTATTTATTTATTCTGGCATAATTTTTGATTCTACTTTTCTCATTCCTTTGCTTGACACTTGTATTTATGCACAAAACCAATTTTTTCTTTGCATTCACCTGCTTCTTTTTTTTTCGTGGGCATGCAGCATGCAACAACAATTTAAAATCGAGGAGTGGTGGTGATAATATAATAAATTTTCATTGATTTTTCTATTCCCCGTTTAATATAATTTCTTTTCTTTCTTTTTTAATATTTTTTTGTATATTCCACAATGAACTATTTTTCTCCGGTAAGATAAAATATATTCTTCTTTTCAATATTTATTTATTTAATTTTTCATCTTCTTCCATTCAATTACAATAAAAAGAACAACAAGTTAAAAGCACAACACATGCACGCACTTCACACAACACCACACCGCACACTTTTCTTTCGGCTGCAGCAAAACGTTGCTTGTTTGGTACACATATGTAGATTATGGATGGATTGGATATCGAAACCGAACCGAACGACCGTCCGCTTTTAGTTAACGCACGAACCGCATGCCAACAAACTCACTGCGAGAATGACTAAAGTGTTAAGAGAGCATGGCCACAAGTGGATAACAGCGGCAACAAGGCAATAATGCTGTTCAATTTTAATAGAACTCCCCAACTCTGTACACGACGACCTTAACATGTAATGTTAATTCAGTGAGATACGTAGCTTAACAGACTGGGTGAAATGGTGGGGCTGTTAAAATCTAAGTTAACAGGTTAGCTTCAATGAGAACATAACACACGACTGTTTGGTTGTTAACATTCTAATTGGAATGTTATGTTATTATCATAGGGTATTATGTCAATAATACAAAATTTAAAAGGAAGTATAAAAACCACATTTTTAAAGGCAGTTCATAGGATAAATAACGAACTATTCGATAAAACTTTAAATAACATAAGTTTAAAATATTTATTGTACACAATTAATGTGACAATAAGTAAAACATTTTCGTAAATGACGGGCTTACTTATTTACTTAGCTGGCTTGTGACCAGCGTTCGAAAATAAACATTATGGTACCGTTCCATAGTGTTCTGTACCGTACCAAGGTGGATAGGTACACTAAAATAACGTACTGTACCGGTACACAAACACTAAAAATATTTTTAGCGTTACTGTTCCGGAGCACAACGAAAATCTTAGCGTACCAACTGCGGTACACTAAAAAATCGTAGTGTACCGACAGCGGTACACTAAAAATCGTAGTGTACCGGCAGTGGTACACTAAAAATTCGTAGTGTACCGACTGCGGTACATTAAAAATCGTTGTGTTCCACTGGACGGAACACTAAAATTTTTAGTGTACCACTGGTCGAACACTAAAAATCGTAGTGTTCCACTGGTCGGAACAATACAAATCGTAGCGTTCCACTTACTTGAACTGTACTGGTACTGTACCATACACGTCTGTTTTGTTTTTTGAGGTAAAATGGGATCAAATAATAAAAATGAATATAACTTTATTTGCAATTACAAAATGTAGGTATTTTGGCCAGTTTTTGTGACAAAATTATACAGCTTTGGATAAAATTTTCATTAATTTACAGAACGAACATGATTTTTCCCATAAAATTAGGAGATCTCCTTGTAAAATGTTAGTATGAAATTTTTTTTAAAAAAATTATACCTGCATCTACGATTAATACTTTTAGGAAATTTTGTCAAAAATATTCAAAATTTGGTGATTGGCACACAATCAACATAATTATTACCTGCTTATTCATGAAAAGAAGTGTACAAGTTACGCGGATATGAAAAAAGTAGTTTTATGATTTTGGGATAAATATTACAAGACCACTTACAGGTACCATATAAAAACCGAATTTCATATTTCCGATCAGCGCAATCGATTATAACCCAAAATGCAATTCAATGGAATTTTCAGTTATGAGTTGGCCGTCACTAGTCGCCCTTTTTTAGTTACAAAATATTTATTATGTTAAACTGATGTTAATATAATATTACTATTTTTTAAATAATATTACTATTTAAAAAAAAAAATATTGTATTTATTAAATTATTGAAAAGCAATAAAAATATAAATTTTATGCATACAAAAATAAAAGATGAATACATAATTTTGTTTTCCGACAAATGGAACACTATAATTTTAAGTGTTCCGCCAAGTGGATCACTACGATTTTTAGTGTTCCGCCAAATGGAACACTACGATTTTTAGTGTTCCGACCGCGGTACGCTACAATTTTTTAGTGTTCCGACCGCGGTACACTACGATTTTTTAGTGTTCCGACCGCGGTACACTACGATTTTTAGTGCTCCGACCGCGGTACACTACGATTTTTAGTGCTCCGACAGCGGTACACTACGAATTTCGTTGTGCTCCGGAACAGTAACACTAAAATATTTTTTAATGTTTGTGTACCGGAACACTAACGCTAAAATTTTTTTAGTGTTTGTGTTCCTGGTACGGTACACTACGATAGTGTACCGTTTTTTTGCGAACACTGCTTGTGACAGAACATTTGTTCCAAAAGCCGAGGTTAAAAAAGACGTCCATGTGCGTCGGTCTTGCGTGCAGCTCTTCCAATTTAAAAAACCATTAGGCCTTTTCTGTAACTTTTAACAACATTCGATTCGATTCTTTTGTTATTGTTGTAAAATAAACAATATCGAATTTTATTAAAAAATTACAGAATAGGCCTATATGATTCGAGATGTTGTCTTACACTTGATACTTCCATCTATGATTGCCCTCTTATGTGTGAACCATCAGTTGGCTCGCTTTTATGTGCCAATACCTAGCCAACGTAGTCGCTGCAGCTCGATACGTCTGACAATGCCGATGTCCAGCTCATGGTTCATTCGACGACGATATTCACCGTCAACGCAGATCGGTCTATATATCTTTCGGAGAATTTTTCTCTCAAACACTCCAAGAGCTACCTCATTTGCTTGCGTAAGTACCCATGCTTCAGATCCATAGTATTCATAGTATTAACGTTTTGTAGAGTGTGAGTTTGGTCTGGCGGGAGGTGTCCTTGTTTCTAAACGGCTTACCGTGGTATATAAAATCTTTAACTATCTCGAAGCTGTAGTTCTCAAGTATGATCTTTTCCAGCAGGATGTTAAAAATATCACACGACAAACTGGCACTTTGTCTGATTCCTCGTTCGGTATTGAAGGGCTCCGAGACATCCTTTTCGACATTAACTGCTGACCCTGGCTTTAAATACCTTTAAACGGATAGGGCTATATATGCCCTACCTTTAAACGGATAGGGCTATATATGCGGCATTGTAGTCCACGAATAGTTGAAATTTGTCGTTAAGTTTTTCGTGCGTCTTTATCAGGAATTGGCGTAGAGTGAAAATTTGGTCCATGGTGGATTTGCCAGGTCTGAAGCTGCATTGGTATGATCCAATAATGTCATTGACCATTGGCTTCAGTCGTTCACTCGGCACGCTGAATAGTACTTTATATTTGATGAGAAGGAGACCTATTGCTCTATTGTTGGTACATGTAGTTTTGTCCAATTTTTTGTGCAAGGCATACATTCCTTTACTAATCAGCTTGTGCATGCTCCTGACCAGCATCAGACCACCAGTCTTGAATATTTCGTCTGGTAACCTATCGGTACCTCCTGCTTTATTATTCTTCAGCCAATATATTGCTATTCTGACCTCATCTTGGCTAGGTGATATACACTGTATATCGTCATCTCTTATTGGTTCTGGGGTATTTTCTTCACCGCTACTATTTTACATCCTAAGCTTTTCAAAATGTTCCTTCCAGATCCTCAGGCTATAAGGGCCGACCTTCTGCACCTGGTCATCAATCCGTACCCAATACAAATTGAGGCAACTGCAACATCCTCAACGTAATTGTGCCGAAACTACTCTGGTTTGTCTGGGCAGTTGACGTTCTTCAGCTGCGTTGGGTTGGGGAGTGAGCTCCGAGGACGGCATTAACCTTGTATTCGTGAAACTAAGTTTTTAAACAATTGTTTTTTCTTTTCAGTTGAAAGTCTGATATGAAAATGGATCTCTCTACACTATCACACTCACAATACATAAAAAATTATCAAAATCTACTATAACAAGTAAAAAAGTGTCAGTCGGTGTTGCCGACAGATATATACCCTCAGTCTATGATTTGCGGAGGTCTTCGGAATTACACACAGGTTTTATTATTCGTTATATTTAAGGTATATGTTTTTATAACAGAGGTTCGGATTTAATGTTCATCAAATGGGTTATTCATCAATTCGTTTTTATACACTTTGTGGGGGAGGTATCAGAAGGCGTGGACCAATATTCCCCATCTTTAAACGTGAACTAAGTTTGGATGAAATATTGCGATGTGCAAAGTTTAGATGAAATTGATTACTCCCTTCGAAAGTTATCGTGCGCTCCTGTCGCCCAGACAGGCTGAAGGACGGACATTTGTAAAGCGGCTCCAAATTGTTTGAGAAAGATTTGGTAAATAGAAACATGTCGATGAGGCACATTTTCGCCGTATCAAAGTGTATATACCCTGAGGGTGAGGGTACGATAAAAGGCCGTTTTATGCATTTACGCTCAAGAGACAGAACGATTTTTATACCACAGACTTATGCCTAAGGAGGCGGCTACCTCAAAAACGTGCCTCATCGAAATATTGATTATAGATTCAATGTTTCTTTGGGTTAATAGTTTCCATCCGAAAAATAAATTATAATATCATATGTAACTTTTCAACAAGAGAGCTTTATTGTTTTGGTATATAGAAAATCACAAATAACAAAATTATTACTGATTTCCGGAAAAAATATTCTTCCCCATTAACGTCCCTATGAAATAAATAAATTCGATACATTTAATTAAATTGTAATACGAAAAAGGAATATACATTTTGCATCACTTACCAAAACACCACCAAGAAGATTATTAAGAATAGCCAATTCGGGTTTAGCTTCGGCAGAGCTGATGGCCAAAAGCATTGCAGCGGCAATAACGAATACCTTGGAGAATTTCATTGTTGTTGTTATAGATTTGAGAAGACAAGTCTTGAACTAATGACATTTTTGAATTTTCAAACACCTTATATAGTCGAACGTGTCTTTTGTTTTCTAAATAATAATTGTTTAAAATAATATAAAAGACCAATGAACAACATATGTTTCGAAACGAAAACAAAAGACATTTTAAATCGTTCCTCAAGTGCAAGGCATGTTTGCCTGTCTTCAGTTCAAGGTTATTCAATTTTGGTTTATTTTTAGGCATACTTTTAATATAGTTTTAATAATAGATTTGTATTTACTTATCAAAGAATCAGGAATATTCTAAAATTGAAGAAAGTGAATTATGTTCAAAATACTAAAAATTTTATTATTCGTATAGGAAAAAGCCAGGATAAGTTTTAGGGTATCATTGATGAGGAAATCTTAGGAAATTAACTCTTTGAATTCGTTTTGTCCATATAGCCCCTGGCTGTCCATGAACTTTATATATCGATCCAGTCAATTGAGTTTCCGATTTCAGTTTCTAACAAAAGTTGAAGCAATAGCTCCAATATATATTTTTTTTATTGAATTGGAGGTATGTACGCTTACACGTTAAATTCTGTATTGTTGATTTTGCGGTCATTTGTATCCGATACTTTTGGATCGAACGACACTTTAGAGCCTTAAAGTTTTTTATTTTTATTGAAGAAGAGATGCCTTCGTATTTTTCGCCAAAATGTTATAAAAGCCTGTAAGTCAGTTCCTTCTGTAAAATCCACCACAAACGCACAAGCACATATCGCACATTTGTTGCAAGACCGGCATAAATAAAAAATTATGATTTTTGAGTTGATGATGCAGAATTGTTTCCTATGTCAAATTTCATATAAAATTCAGATTAATGTCTCTTTCAAACACTTATTGATAAGCTGTTTCTTGTAAGGTGTGAATAAATTGAAAATTTAAAACGCGTTTATGCAAAATCGATTTTTTTATATAGGCTGCTTTTGCAGCATATGAATGTTGTCTATAATATTTGTAGTCTCATCCTGATGGCTATTAAAGGTATAAATATTTACACTACGTGGCTTATCGAAATATATTTTTAAGGCGTCAATCCGTTCCAGATTATTTGTAGTCGATTTAATAATATATGTCCGTCTCTCTGACCATCTGGCTGGTTAATGCGCACGATAACTCTCGTAACCGACTCCAGCCAAACATTGTACATCGTAATATTTCCTTCAAACTAATATTAGGTTCGAAGATGGGATATATCGAATCACTCTTTTTGGTACCTACTCCACGCAATGATCAAAATTTTGCTGCAAATTATTTTTCAATTCCATAAATCTTGTTCCATTAGACAACCCTGTGCTTCACCTTACGTGACTTGCTTCGGAGAGAGTTCCTACTGAGGGATGACAAAAGTTCTTATGATCATGTGTATTCAGAGCCAGGTCGAACGTTAATCTGCTTATACTATCAACAGAATCTGCATAAGGACAAATGAATGGGTAGGGTAGTAAAGTGTGGTCTCTGAGTCCTGCCATCAACTTTAATCAACCTGAAAGCCATTTCGATACAATTTTTGTATTGCGGTTTGTACTGTGCTTCAAATTGAGCTTAAGTTGTTTTTTTCAAATTTGACCATTTTTGCTGATTTTATTTTTCGATTCATACAAAAACGCTATGTAATGCCAATGATCGCGGTTCATACCCCTTGGGGTGAGTTACAGTTGTTTTTAAGAGGTTTTTTAAATATTAGGTTGGGGAAAAAATCCTTTATTTTTTTTTTTTTTTTTGTAAATGGTTTAAAGGTTTATGATCATTTTTTTAGCTCCTGTGCGATGTTACGACTACTCAACTTCGATCATTTCTCCGATTTTATCGACATTTTCGAAGACCGGCCTACCTGTGTGAGGTGCATCTTTAACATCAAACATTCCTGAACGGAATCTACGAAATCGAAATTTCACATAATTGGCTGTTACAGTATGGGAACCATAAACACCATTCACAATTTTAGCCGCTTGGCTTGCTTTTTCGGCTTTGTCAAAGAAAAACTGTAAATTGTACCGAATTTTCTTTTAATGCCAAATGTCACCCTTCCAACGAGCATAAATCTGAAATTGTTTGATCGATACTTTACGAGAAATCTATCAATACATACATCTGCCGAAAAAATAATGGATTTATTTTTCCCCAACCTAATATTTGTATATCCCTACAGATGAAATGTACCAGAAACCCCCCTGATTTTCTAACAACCAACTTCGACATTAAGGTCCAGGTATAAGGATAACAAAAAGGCTAGGAATAACAGGAGATGATCTTACACATCGGAAAATAACAACACTAATTAAGCAAGGATCACCATCACACTGTACAAAATCCAAGCAGGTTTTGTTTATAAACAACGATAGATGGCAGCCTCATTACCTAGGGCAGGCTGCAGCAGACCAATTGTCTACTTGGGTGGAAATCAAGTAATGAAACGATATACGAAACTGAAACAAGGGACTAACATGTGTCAATCATGAACATCACCACATGAGGATAAGACATAAAAGGAATGGCAGTATGGAGGAAAATTTCAACAATAACAAAATTTAACGAGGCGTTGTTTCTAGACTGCGATAGATGGCATCTTCATAATCGAGGACTGGCTACAATAGATCAACGTCTACTTGGCTGGAAGAAAAACAATGAAATGTTTAACTAAATAACACAAGGTGTTAATCGAGTAAGATGCTTTGAGAACGCCCTATCTTTCCACCAAGTGAAGTCAATGAGAATTACTTCCAGCTCATTAATAAGATCAGGCGCGATGCACTTGTCGGTCTACCATGGCATTTTTAACATACCTTTGAAACCACGAAATGGATGACCCGAAATGGATGTAATAGCTAATGATCGCGGCTCAAAACCCCTTGGGAATAATTACAGTTATTTAGAAGGGGGTTTTTAAATATTTGTATCTCCCTAATTTTATCTCCCTTCAGATTCAATATACCAGAAACCCCCCTGATTTTCTAACAACCAACCTTGGCGTCAACATCCACCCACGAGGATAACAAATAAGCTAGGAAAGACAGGAGATGACGCCACGCAGCGGAAACGATCAACACTAATTAAGCAAGGATCACCATCACTGTACAAAATCTAAAGAGGTTTTGTTTATAAACAACGATAGATGGCAGCCTCATTACCTACGGCAAGCTACAGCAGACAAATTGTCTGCTTGGGTGGAATAAATTCAATGAAATGTTCTACGAAACTAAAACAAGGGACTAACCTGACTCAAAAGCATGGACATCACCACATGTGGAAACCACAAAGAAAATGGCAGGAGATTTCAATTCAGAGAGGAAAATTATAACAATAACAAAATTTAAGGAGGCGTTTTTTCTAGACTACGATATATGGCGTTCTCATAACCGAGGACACAAGGGGTTAATTGAGTAAGATGCTTGAAGGAAGCAATATGTTTACACCAAGTGGATTCAATGAGAATTACTTCCAGTTCATTCATAAGACCAGAAGCAATACACTTTTCAGACTACCTTAGCATTTTTTCCACACACTTTTGAAACCACGAAATGGATAATCCTTTAGTTTATGTAAGACTTCACAATGTTTGAAGATGATGTCAGTCAGTTCCCACCGCTTCTGGTACCTCCTCCCCTACAAAGTGTCAACAATTTTATATTTTAAAAATTTCGTATAAAGCGAAGGGAATATTTAATTTTTGCAGACCTACATCTAGTCTGAAAATGGTGTCAATCGGGGTACGTCTACTGGTACTTCCCCAAAAACACCCAAAATGTTGAAATGTTGTAAATTTCATATAAAACTAATAGATTATCTCAGTTGACACATTAAACGCCCTTCGTAATATTTCTACCAAAGTCCCTTCAATTTTGAATATAGGAGAAATGCACAACAAGTATCCTGACCTTTCATTCATGGCTTTCCTTTATAACAATAATATCGTTGTTAGTATTTTGAATTTAGGCCGTGAACATAATTCACTTTCCCCAATTTTTGAATATTTCTGATTATTTGATAAGTAAATAAAAATCTTTTTAATAAAAATTGATTTGGTTTAAACCACAAAATTTAACCTAAATTTAATGCCCTTGAACTGAAGACATACATGCCCTGCAATTGAAGCTTATATGAAAAGGTCTTTTGTTGTCGGTTTAGAAAATATGCAGTTCATTGTCTTCATTCTATATTATTTATATATAATTTTTATTATTATTTTTAGAAAACAAAAGACTCGTTTGACTATATAAGGGGCTTCAATGTGCACAACTGTCATTAGTTCCAGTCTTGTCTTCTCAAATCTATAACAACAACAATGAAATTTACCAAGGTATTCGTTATTGCCGCTGCAATGCTTTTGGCCATTAGCTCTGCCGAAGCTAAACCCGAACCAGAGCCCAAGCCAGAACCATTGCCTGAGCCTATTTTGGATGTACTAGGCAATCTTCTTGGCGGTGTTTTGGTAAGTAACACAATTAATATATATTTGGAATAACAATCTAATTAAAATTATATTTGTTTTATCTACTTTTCAGGGTCGTTAATGGGAAAGGAAATTTTTCCAGAAAACATTAATTTTTTTGTGATTTGTCTATAAACAAAAACAATAAAGATGTCTTGAAATGTTAAATAGCTATTTGTGATTTAATTTTCGAATGGGGATAATAAGGAACTAAAGTGCCACATCGTTTGAAAATGGGTCAGAGGGGTTATAAATCGGTGTCTAATCTTGTTATCTTGCTATGAGAGTCATTGAAGACTTGAGGACTTAAAAATGAATTAAAAGAAAAGTCCTTCTATTCGATTACGGGAATGGTTTCCGATCACTGGAACGTCCGATTTCAAAAATTCCAACGACATTCGAAAGAGTACATGCCTGGGTCTGGTATGAACTAGGATTATTAACATCGCCAAAAAGTAAGAAAAATTATCTATTTTTTACCACAAATCGAGTTATAAAGAAAAATAAGGAAGTTCTTGAC